TCTCTACACTAATTTTCTCAGGAGAAAGCACAAATTCTTATCTTTTCCCCATAGTGGTGTCACTTTAAGTATTAATTGAATTTTTGAAAACCAAGTAAGAAAGGAACATCTGGTCCACTATGCAGATTAAACCTCCCCGAAATTATGCATATATATATATATATATATGTATTCATTTCTAGAAGTAAAATATCTTAGAATTTAATGTGTACATATGTAAGACTTAAGCCATATTATATATAATTATCTAAGGCAACTGTACAATTGAGACACAAAGTTAACAGGTCCTACACAATTATATAGTGTTATCAAGAATCTCATGTTAAAATTAACAGCTGGATGCCAAGAAAATTATTTTCCCCATCTGAAATATTTTACCAAAGTCTCCCTGATGTATTTCCTAAACATTTATGATATTTTTTCATTTGACACATATTCAAGTATTCTTTCTTTATAAAGAAATCTACATTCTTTAAGGTATTAACATGTTTAAAAGGAATTTTAGAGAATGTGTTGGCTTCGGAAGATGGGATTACTTTGAATTTTCCCATAGAATAAGAAATACCTGATGCACAGACAGTTCAAACTTTGATAAATGACCATGCTGAATCCAGTTTGACTGTCACTTCCATGTCCTATTCTCTAGCGAGTACACATCTGATGTTGACATTTCCAGGGCAAATTCTCTTACTCAATATTCTGAGTTTTATTCATTTTTAAGGGGGAAAATGACATATCTCTTATATGATTTTGATCGGTGCCTTTTAAACTCAGGAACCTCAACATTCCTACCACAACGGGCACCTATACCAATTAGTAAAGTGATGAACCAAAGTAAATTATTAAGAAGTAGTTTGTCAATCTCACTTTTGAAATAAATCAGTCAAAATGTATTTATGAAGAGTTGTTTCATGTCTGGAAATCTGCTAGATACTATAGGGTGAGATGTTTCAGAACACAGGCTTCTACTGACAAGGAACTTGGGATCTGTCCAAGGAGAAGATTGTCCTACTTATTTTCAACCAGATAGCCCTGCTATAGTTTCTATGATTTGAAACTATTTGAATTGAGATATTGTCGGATTCCATTTGAAACCAGAAATGACAGCCTTAGCAAAAACTTACAAAATTAGCTTCTGAGTAAGATTGCATGTGAACAATATGATGCATCTAGTGTTTTATCATTAAATCTTAATATAATTCTCAAAGGAAACTATCTCCACACATCCAGTGTTTCACAAATAAGATAGTCTGGCATTTTTCCTTCTCTTTTGTTATATACATATATAATAAAAGGATATATGTATACATATATCCTTCCCTTGTGGCTCAAAGAGCAAGGAAACTCTGTGCAATGTAGAAGACCTGGGTTCAATCCCTGAGTTGCAAAGATCTCCTGGAGAAGGGAATGGCAACACACTCCAGTATTCTTACCTGGAGAATTCCATGGACAGAGGAGCCTGGCTGGCCATAGTCCATGGGGGTTGCAAAGAGTCAGACAAGACTGAGTGACTAATACTTTCATATACTTTATATTGAGTTGATTTACAATTTTGTATTAGTCTCAGGTGTACAACAAAGTGAATCAGTTATACACATACATATGTCCACTCTTTTTTAGATTCTTTTCCCATATAGGCCATTACAAGGTATTGAGAAGATTTCCTTGTGCTATACAATTATTAGTGATTTATTTTATATATAGTAGTGTGCATATGTCCCTTCCCATCTCCCAACTTATCCCTCCCCCTTTTAAATTATACAAATAATATGCATGCATGCTAAAATAAAAATAGAGGCTACTAAGAAAAAAATATCTGAAGACTACTACTTTTGAAAGTTGACTGATAGGTACATGTACTAATTTCTTCTGGCTGCCATAGCAAAGTACCACAGCTTAAAGAACAGAAATTTATTTTCTCACAATTTTGTAAGCTCAAAAAATCCAAAATGAACATGTTGATGGGCTTAGCTTCTTCTGAGGTCTCTGTCCTTTGCATTGCAGAAAGCCCTCTTCCCTCTGCTTTTACAAGGCATTCCCTCAGCACTTGTATGTGTCCTTATCTCTCATAATTAAAAGCTCCATCTCCAAATATAGTTGCATTCTGAGGAACTGGGGGCTAGGATTTCAACATAAAATTTGGGGGGATTCGCTTCATCTCATAAAATCATCTAGATAAATAAATAATTGATAGGTAAAGCTAAACACACATGTATGTCCACCTCTCATGTAATATATAATTTTATATAACTTTTATAAAGTCTATTAAATATTTTCTTAGGGACTGTAGTCTACCAGTCTCCTCTGTCCATGGGATTCTCCAGGCAAGGATACTGGAATAGGTTGCCATTCCCTTCTCCCTGGGATCTTCCCTGCCCAGAGGTTGAACCCTGGTCTCCTACATTGCAAGTGAATTCTTTATTGTCTAAGCCACCAGGGAAACCCAAACATTATATAGCTATATGATACAACACAATGTATTGAAGCAGTTACCTGCTATTAGTCATTCGAATTGTTTCTAGTATTTTTTTTTCTATTTAAATACTATTCTATGGACCTTCTTATATATATACTTTAACACAACTTCCTGTTAATTTTCTCTTGATAAATGTCTAGTAGTTAATTCTCTTTTTCAGAGCGTGCTTTCTTTTCCCCTCAGGGATTTTTATACTTCCTGCAAACTTCGTATCCATTTTCACTCCGACAAGCATGAAATACAAATACCTCTTTACTAATGCCAGGCCAGCATGTTGTTTCTATCGTTCCTATTTTGTCTGATAAACACATAACTTGCTCTATTTACATTTATACTTATTAGAATTAACTTGACCCTGGAAGGCTATGGACTCTTTTTTTCATGCTTTATTCCCATCTATATTCTTCCTCTGGTGAATGTAGGCCTCATCTGAAACCTCCCACCTTCTATCATTGCTAAATATAATTAACGCTTATTATTCTCTTCACTGAATCACTGAACAGCATATCTCATTTGAGTCACCACCAGAAAAGCTCTGTAAAGTTAAATAACTTATTACTTTCCTTGCATCGTCTGCCCTCCTAGTGATACCTGCAAATTCTCTCACCTGGATGGTTGTTTGGTCCCTAAGTCATGTCCAACTCTTTGTGACCCTACAGACTATAGTCCACCAGACTCCTCTGGCCATGGGATTCTCCAGGCAAGAATCCTGGAGTGGGTTCCGATTTGCTCCTTCAGGCGATCATCCTGACCCAGAGATTAAACTCGTGTCTCTTGCATTGCAGGCTAATGCCTTTTCCCTGAGCCACCGGGGAAACCCAAGTCAACACAGCGCAGCATCAGAAACCCCACCAGAGCTGTGGTTCACCGAGTGTTGTGCTCTCCCATGTTTTCCAAATGTTGTAGCCTTTCCTGCATCTAGACATCCGAGATATTTCAACTATAATACTTTCATGCCCCCCCAGGTTGCGCACTGAGAGGCAATGTTTGACATTACATAGTTTCAGGTTAATGTGGCCAGTAAAGCGCAGTTTTAAATATTTAACTGTCTGTTCCTTTTTCCTGCCCTACTCATTTCCTTGCAAGCTCTCATTTATATTTTAAATTGAGATTTTTTTTTTTCCTCTGAGACTTGGAAAAATGGCCTAAAAATGATACCATTAGATACTCGGTATGTCTCTCCGTGGTGGTTTCTCAGAAATGAGAGAAAAATAATCGATTTCCTCAGAGATACTGACACTTCAGTTCACAGGCTGTTCTTGGTTTGTTTCTATTCCATATTGAATTCATCTAGGTGTTCTGTATGATCAATCTAAGTGTTCCAGACTGCTGACACCATATGCCTTATGAGAGCCTTTTTTTTCCCAAACTATTTTTCATAGATATAGAATGAGATGCATTATACAGCACATTAAACAAAGTGCAAGATTGAAAAAAGAAAGAAAGACAGAAAAGAGAGTGTGAATGCAAGATGATTCCTTTGCTTTAGAAAATGTAACTTTACTTACCAAATCATATGATCACCTTTACAAGAACACCGATGCCCTCATCACCATCGTTGTTACACTCTATGTTTATCACGGCTCACTGCTGCAGGGTGACGCAAATCCTCTATGTGTTTCTGGCCAAGGTCTTGATAGCAGCCAAGTCTCCCTTACAAACAAACAAACAAACAAAACAGAGTTTTGAGAAAATACATAAACATTTTCTAGGAAAGTCACTTAACCTGTCTTTCTCTTATTATTATGATTATTTGTTCTATCTCATTCTACTCCTAGATACACACCGATTTGAATTCACATTTTTACTTTTGGATCTATACAAAGTAGATAACAACTTGCAGGATATAGAGTCTTCCTCTGACTGTAGTGGCAACACAGGTGCTTATGTCTGCTCAAGATAAAGACTATATTCTTCAAATACTTGCTGAATATGTCTTTCATTCAGCAGAGCTAATTAGTTTCAGTTGCTTAAGCTGAGCAACTATTTGCTTCAAGGAAGATATTATATTTGTTTAATAGCATTTAAGTGCTAAACACTGTAAAGGATAATGTTTTCTGAGAATGGGATGTTGTCCTAACTAGTTAGAGGATAGTTTATGAAACAAGGGTCAGGAGAACTTCACAACTAGTTTGAGTGATAGTATTTTTCCTGGTTGTTGATATGGACTACTTAACCTCAGACATCAAATATTGCATATCTATTTAATCAAATTTTATCTTTAATTATATGGACTTCATAATCAAATGCAGGTTAATCGTTCAGTCCAAAGTGTGTCTTAATAAACCAAATGACAACAGTATCAGAGAAAAAACAACCACACAAAACTACTCTTTCTGTGTGTTTGGATAGAGTCATTCTATCCTCACTCTAGTGTTTGGGTTGTAATTAAGACATAGATCCAGCAAATCTTTCTTAGCAAGACTGGTACTGTTTCATTAGACCAAAATGAATTACCAAGTAATAAATAAATAAAACAAAAAGGAAATAAAACAAAGCAAATCACTTTTGTTTTGATTTTCAGCTGAACAAAAAAATAAGCCAACAATGGACGCAACTGATGCCTAGAACTTGATAGTATCAATCCATCACCCTCTAAAAACTGCTTCCCTTTGGTATAGGAAGCTTTATCTCTGACTCCAAATGAAGTGACGGCAAGATACCAAGTTTAAAATTCTCTAACTGTCAACGGCTGTTTTACTAATTATCCAGATTCCAAGGCAATCATACAACCGTAATCATTCACCTCACGCCTGGAAACATAAGTCTTGTTCTTTTGATGAATATTTATAAGACAGTGTAAAGCAGTCTACTTTCTTTTCCCTTCAGGCAAGACAATTTGGAGTTCATCAATATGTATTACCAAGGACTTTTATAAAAGGCACTTCAAAGAAAATTCATCAGGCATTCCTTTTGTCTTGATTTCTGTTAGACTGATACTTCCTTTTGACAAGTATCAATAAATTATCCTCTGATGGCTGGAAACTTGATGTCTTATTCAGAAACTTCCTCACACAGCAAAATCTGGGCTTTGAGTTTCAAGTAAAATTATTAAGATCCCGCATCTAATTTAAGGACAGACAGAAGATATGCAAATTAAAAACAATAAAACAAACATGTATATAGTCACCCTACAGCACACAGGATGGAGTTTTACCCTAGTTGAGGATTTTCTTGCTGTACACAACTTGAAACTATTCTGTTTGCCATGCAAACATATTTAGAATTCCCTCACAAGTTTAAAAAAAATGCAAGCCTCAGTTCCTGGGTAAATGGAAGAACCACACCAAATTAAAACCAAATTAATGTAGATATGGAAGTGAAGAATGACAAGCTGTCTCTTTCCGTAAGGCTGATTAGTTTTCTTTTTTGAATATTATTGTTAGCTTCACATTTATGTAAGAGGAGGATGAATAAATACAATTGTCTAAAATAAGAATGAAAAAACATCACTGTTTTATTTAATGAGCTTTGAAAAGGATATAAAAATCCTTTTATTTGCATCCTATTTTAAAAAAAGCTTGGTTATTTTGTTTTGTTATTCTGATGAAAAATATTTGGAATATGGGACCACAATTGATATCTATTTCTATAAATAAACACAAAATTGCATGTTGACTAAAGCTAAAGAGTTCATCTTATTTCATGGCTTAATTCACTCTTTACAAAGTTACTGTGTTTGTTATAAAAAATATTTCCACATTCTACAAAACTGTTTTGTCATTGCCTGAATAAAATATAAATATAATTCAAGCTTAATTCAAAAAGGGAGCAAAGGGGTAGCATTTGAGCTTGACTACATACTTTGCAAACCAACTATAACACTGATCAAACAGTCATTCTATATGACTTTATATATGTCATGTTTGTGAAAATATAATCCACAATGAAAAAGTCACTTAGAATGTAGAGTTTATAAAAGTAAAGGGAAGAAAGAAAGAAAATATTACATGCGGAACATTTGTGGCAAACAAACTGCTATAGTATCTGAGTCCCTAAGACCTGGGATATGTTCAATGGCTTAATAAAAATCATTGACTACAAGAATGCTGTTTTCAAATAGTTTATTTTAAATATTATCTTGTAAGAATGATGATGATGTCAGTATGATATATATATATATATATATATATATATATATTTTCTAGCTCTGTACTCCAAATACAGCCTGGAAATGTTGCTCTGTTCTTGCCACAATGGCTTAAAAATATTTCCACATTCTACAAAACTGTTTTGTCATTGCCTGAATAAAATATAAATATAATTCAAGCTTAATTCAAAAAGGGAGCAAAGGGGTATCATTTGAGCTTGACTACATACTTTGCAAACCAACTATAATACTGATCAAACAGTCATTCTATATGACTTCATATATGTCATGTTTGTGAAAATATAATCCACAATGAAAAAGTCATTTAGAATGTAGAGTTTATAAAAGTAAAGGGAAGAAAGAAAGAAAATATTACATGCGGAACATTTGTGGCAAACAAATGCTATAGTATCTGAGTCCCTAAGACCTGGGATATGTTCAATGGCTTAATAAAAATCATTGACTACAAGAATGCTGTTTTCAAATAGTTTATTTTTAATATTATCTCGTAAGAATGATGATGATGTCATATATATATTTTCTAGCTCTGTACTCCAAATACAGCCTGGAAATGTGGCTCTGTTCTTGCCATAATGGCTATTAATTCCTGTGTGTAAAAGAAAAATAAAGGAAACAAGATCAATTATTTCTGACAGTACTCCTTATGCCCTCCACACACTCATTTTAAAATAAAATCTGCCCAAAGTGCTATATGAATTGTCTCTTTTTATGTACAAATTACTACAAAATGTAATGGCCTAAAACAATAAACATTTATTTTCTCATTATGCCCATGATTTAAAAACAGGAGCAGTTTAGCTGGATGGGTCTGCTTCAGGCTCTCTCGTGACATTGCAGTGACGGTGCTGGCTGGACTTGCAGTCATTTCAATGTTACTGAAAATCTGCTTCCAAGCTCCTTCACAAGGACTTGTCAGGGGATCTCTGTTCCTTAAGAAGGGGGAGATCTCAGTTTCCTACACCTGGTCCTCTCTGCAGATCTCTTTGAGTGTCTTCATGGCAACTGGCTTCTTCCAAAGTGAGTGATCCAAGAGAGAGAAGGAAAAAACCACAATGCCTTTTCCATTCTATCCTTACAAGTCACCCATTGTTACTTTCACCAGATTCTATTCATGAGAACTGAACCACCCAAAGTCCAATGTACCTGTGAAAGGAGGTGAATTAGGCTCCAATTTTGGAACAGATTATTACCGAAGATTTATGAACTCATTAGAAAAGCCCCTGATGCTGGGAAAGACTGCAGGAGGAGAAGGGGACGACAGAGGACAAAATGGTTGGATGGCACCACTGATTCAATGGATATGAGTTTAAGCAAACTCCAGAAAATGATGAAGGACAAGGAAGCCTGGTGTGCTGCAGTCCATGGGGGTCACAAAGAGTCGGACATGACTGAGTGACTGAACAGCAACGAACATTACCAAAGATTTATGAACACAATTTAAAACGTCCACAAGTGTACTCACGGTATGTAAATCTCACAACTGTGGGTTATGATAGTGCTCACATATCATGGAAATATGTAAAAAATTCAAATTTCACCCACTAGAGATATCTGGACTGATTCCCTCAAATTAGTCAGAACAGCAATTAGAGAATGTAAAAGGACAATGAAATACAATGTGCAGCTTATATGTGATGTCTATACTATATGAGACACTTTATTTGCTCATTCATTTATTCATATCTTAATTTTTAAAAATATATGTATAAGGAAAATTATGGAAGTGTTCCTATGTTTTGTTTTTTTTTTTGTCTGGAGAGAAAAATAAATGTTAAATGCCCTTTACAGGACCCATGCAAATTTGGGAAAAGGGAGTGGCATGATATACTGTTTAAGAAAATCTTGGCTGGTGTCATACATACAAAATACTGAAGAAAAACTAAAGATGGAAGACCAATTAAGAGTCAGTGAAATAATCTGGACAATAGACAAGAATTAAAATTTATGGTGGTGGTCATGAGAAAGATAAAAAGGAAATGGATTTAAGAAATATGTTGAAGAAAGAGCAATTAAACTTAAGGAAGATTTGCACTATATTTTTCTCCCCATTGGTCCTTGAGAAGAATTTATATATCTGTTTCAAAACAAAAGCACACTCTTTTGCAGTAATGAAGGGAAAGCAGCCTTAATTCCAGATCCACACTTGAGTATTCAGTTGATTCATGGCTTCTGGTGGAAAATGCACAACCATACCAATGCTCACACAAGCAGAGGGAGCATGAAAGAATAAGAGAAAGTGAAAGACCACTATAATTAGAGCATTCTTATTCTTCTTCATGTTACATGGTTAAATTAAATGCAATCTGACAGTTAGTGTTTCTGAAGAGATAAAGCATTAGTCAAAGTTTGGTTGGTGGTGTTTTTATAGAAGTAACTACATGTTATATATTTTCCAAAAAATTCCCTGATGCATTTTGGAATAAATTGAATCATAAAATGGAAATATGTATATAAAATAATATTGAGGAGAAGGGAGAATCTTGACACACAGATTCCTATTTTGATTTCATTAGTACCTAGATTTGTGATCTTGGGCATGTTCCTTAAAGTTTCTAAAACTTATTTCTTTAATTATCATAATTGAAATTTATTCAAAGGCTAAGTAAGAGGATTCAATAAAATAATTTATGTAAATACAAAGGCCAGCACCTGACACTTAGGAAACTCTAATAAATACCTTTGACTAACGTTAACTTATAGATAATATTATTAGGACTGCTTTGATAATATGAAACTAGCTGAATTGAACTGGAGGAGGGAGTTGACAGTCGTGGTTAGGTGGCAGCAAAAATCCTCTTTGAGTTGTCTTTGGGATTCACATCATTCATTCACTGAGATTGGAGTGGAGCCGTGTTAGCAAAAGTCCACTGGTATCCTGGAGTCTTCACAAAGTGTTAAGAGAAAAAATGCTAACGACTTCAATACAGCCCTCCTGAGGGCAGAAGAGGCAGGGGACAGAGACAGATAATCTTGCCAACAGATCTGAACCCCTTGAGGGTCTTGATGATTTTCACAGAGAAGATTTCAGGAGGCCTTAAACCCAGTGAGGATTTTGGACACTGTCTCATGGATACTGAAATCTCCATTGATATGGTTTAAGCCGGGAGTCATAAGGGCAACAGTGGCCTGATGCTATGTTGACTAATGCATTGGCTGTGACTAATGCAATGCAACTTGCATAACATTACCAAAGATTTATGAACACAATTTAAAACGTCCACAAGTGTACTCACGGTATGTAAATCTCACAACTGTGGGTTATGATAGTGCTCACATATCATGGAAATATGTAAAAAATTCAAATTTCACCCACTAGAGATATCTGGACTGATTCCCTCAAATTAGTCAGAACAGCAATTAGAGAATGTAAAAGGACAATGAAATACAATGTGCAGCTTATATGTGATGTCTATACTATATGAGACACTTTATTTGCACATTCATTTATTCATATCTTAATTTTTAAAAATATATGTATAAGGAAAATTATGGAAGTGTTCCTATGTTTTGTTTTTTTTTTTGTCTGGAGAGAAAAATAAATGTTAAATGCCCTTTACAGGACCCATGCAAATTTGGGAAAAGGGAGTGGCATGATATACTGTTTAAGAAAATCTTGGCTGGTGTCATACATACAAAATACTGAAGAAAAACTAAAGATGGAAGACCAATTAAGAGTCAGTGAAATAATCTGGACAATAGACAAGAATTAAAATTTATGGTGGTGGTCATGAGAAAGATAAAAAGGAAATGGATTTAAGAAATATGT